AATTCGGCTAACAAACTCATGTCTTCAGAGCGGTACGACAAGAAGACTTAAACGCTTCACCACAGGCCACAGACAACGGTTAAAATTCCGTGAAGAAGTAAACTTTACATAATATATGAATATAAATGCAGAAGGGCGTTGATACAGGGCAAACGAAACGACCCATAGAGATGCTGAAGAAAAATGGAAAAGAATTTAAGGCCGCATGTTCACCAAATCAGACACCCATCGACTGTAATTCGTCCGCCTCTCGGGAACCCGGTGGTAGAAATAGAAACTTTAGCAATTAGTGAAAATTCTATTTGGATAAATAATATGTCCATCAAAACGGCACGACTCCTCCCGACAAAAGAAAAGCCGGTTGGAATGCCGATGTAGAATTTTAGCCTGGCAGTGTAGTGAATCATTAGCCATAGGCCTAGTTGTTAAAGGCCCAGCTATTTAAAAAATCTTAATCTTACGTTCTTACGGTCAGATGAAAAATTAAATGTCATATTTTAAAACCAACACCTCAAAAAGGGCAAAGTCTACGAGCAAACCACCTGGTTTAAACGCATGATAACAATTTTACTATGTTTTTAATTCATCCATTTCTTATTCCCGTTTTGCGTCCATTGACCTCTTGACTATCGTTAACCAAAACACGTGCTGAGAAATGACGCGGGGTCGTCAGAGCTACTCACACATTGGTGGACACGCACGCCCGACCCATCCCCCCAAAAAATCGGGTCGGTTCTGCTTTGGTGGACACACGACCTAAGATAGACCCTTCCAAAGAAATTACAGGACAAATACAAGATAATTGTGTCACCTTGAACAGGAAAAAAGCCTTCCGACACGTTCGACAGTCCCAGAATGTCTCTCTGCAGGTGAGATGTGAAACATGTGAAGTGGCATTGGTTTAATGCCCCTTTAAAAACCATTACGTTATTTTAGAGGCGGGACCTCCGAGTTTAACGTCCATCTCCAAAAGGACCACCCAAGCAAAATTGGAAATTCATGTAACGTGTCTTTCCAGAGGACATATCGTCGAACCGAGCTGAGTCTTGAACCCAGGCCCCAACTGCAATCTCACGATTACGGGTAGGGTAGCCTACCCACTAGACTAAAGACGCCACTTCTGCAAGTAAGAGATGTTTTACATCAATTCAAAACCATACGAGGGGCACAAAATGTCGGTTAACGCGAGTTAAAGGAAAACAGTTTGTATAAATCTGTTCTGGATCCGCTCTAAAGAGGTTGCACTGTTTTGCTGAACATTCAGTATTCATACCACGGCAGTCAGAAATTGAAAAAAAAGAAGGAAATGCACATTGGACATAGAAACAAAATGCAAAATATAGAATGGGATTCAAACAGTGAAATAAAAAGCTGCCAGTGAGATGTTTGATAGCTGCAAGCACTTGGTAACTTTTCAACACATCTGTTTCATGTGTATCACTGATTTTTACTCATTTTAATTCTGAAAATTCTAGTTCAAGTACTCCTCACCACTCCCCCCCCCTTCCAAAAAATAATGTGTATATAAAATCCTTCCTTCCCATACAGATTTTACATATTATATGAACATTGCATGAAACATTTTACATATTATATGAATATTGCAAGAGCGGATTAACATGCTCAAACGGTCACCTGTCCAAGACAATTATCTGTACAAAAGGTCACTTCCCATCCCCCCTCCCCCCTTTTCTATTCCTTTTTTTTTCTTTTTAAAGGGTTTTTTTTGGGGGGTATGTGTCTAAGACGCCCACCGGTCCCAGATAACTTACTTTCTCCTTGTCGATGGATGGACGTCTTCAACAGTTTCGACAGTTTCGACGATACTTATTGTTGCTTCCCTTGAATACAGCCTATTCACTATACAGGGTGAGTCAAAATTATGCAAACGCTAGCACGGGAGAAATAATTTATTCGGAATATTATAATTATACTGGTCTCAACCTAGTTACCAGCATGATCAATATACAACAACAAAAACAGCAATCAACCGTACAATTCAATTTAGTGTCTTGACGCACATTTTGCGGGGAATCCTTGAATATGACAACTTGTATTCTGAACAAAATCAGGCAAGCCATTGGGCCCTTTGAAGATCTCAACACTGTGAAAAAACGCAAACTGAGATGGTATGGGCACATAACAAGATCAACAGGACTTGCAAAGATGATCCCACAGGGCACTGTACAAAGAGGAAAAGAAAAAGGGAGACATAAAAAGAGATGGGTAGACAAAATAACAGAATGGGACAGGTTTAAAGCTGGGTGAAGCCCTCCGAAAGGCTGAAGATAGAGAAGGATGGAGAAAAGTAGTTGCCCAATCATCATTGGTGCCCCAACAGTCATCTAAGACTAAGGGATAGTCTAAGTTTTTAAAATAAAGTTCTTCAGTTAATCTCATACTAGTGTTAACATAATTTTGACTCACCCTGCAGAAAAAAAGATGCTTGATAGCAGAGGAACGTTCAAAAACACAACATGGGATTCATACTGCAACAAAAAAAAATTAATAAACCAGCTGCTGGTGAGAGGTCTGGAGAAAGGTATGTGTGTGTGCAAACCATGCAGGAGTCAAACAGCGGGCCTTGATGATGGGGTGTTGCTTTTATCTCCATACGCAAACGAGGGGGGACTTGGAGAGAAACATCAAAAGTTTTGTACGATAAAGGACTGTGTCAGGAAGCTTACCTCTGGCATCGTGATCTAACGGAGCGGTTAGAGAAGCAAAAAAATAAAAGGAGAGAAAAACTTAACAACGTTACTATCAGACTTGGACATTTCACAGCTCACAAAAATCTAATATTTTATAATATACACATAAACAGTGAAGTCCGCCTAAACCGAACTGGGTTAATCCGAAAACGGGGGTAAACTAAAAGAAAAGAAAACCACTGATGTCTTTTCTCTTCTTCTATTTGAGTAACTTCTCTAAACCGAAAACCCGGCTCAACCGAAGAAGATCCGGTGGCCCCGCAATTTCCGGTTAAAGCGGACTCCACTGTGTGTGTGTGTGTGTGTGTGTGTGTGTGTGTGTGTGTTTGTGTTTGTATGTGTATGTATGTGTGTGTGTGTATGTGTGTGTGTGCGTGTGTGTGTGCGTGTACGTGTGTGTGCGCGCGCGCGCGTGTGTGTGTG